CGTTTTACTTGGGCCAGTTAAAATGGGACCGCCGCAAATGCAAATAGCTGCGCCCTTAGTCCTCACCCTTATCTTTATATTTGGACTTCCATACTCAAAATTAAGCACGAGATTTTGTCTTTCTTCTTCATCCATTAAAATATATATTTATTTTTTTCATGGAAAATTACATCCACATAATTTCCACATATTTCAAATCATGAGCCTAATCAACCTTTGAACAAATCTTATAATTTTGTACTTTTTTTTCAGTTAAATTATATGAACGAAGTTCGATCAGATCAGATCAAATCAAATCAATTTTCTAAAAGAATGACCCAATACAACACACTAAATTGTAAGATCAAATCAAATCAATTTTTTAAAAGAATGACCCAATACAACACACTAAATTATAGGCTTTCAAATGACAAGCAACATTACTGATTTATGAGATATACCCAAACTATAAAAATGAAACTTATAAAAATTGGACAATAGAGCACACTAATATAAAGTATAGTTTAGCAATATTATTAATAATTCTCAATTATACAATTCATTTTTAAGATGGACGGCCCAATAATTAACATGAATTTAAAGGGCAAAAAGAATCACTTTCAAATAATTTTTGAAAAAAACTCAATATAATTTCTTAAAGTCAAAAAGAGGTCAATAACTATTTAGCCGCAAAATCTTCGTGATGAACATCTAGAAGCCCATGATTTCAAACTAATGTAACAAATCAATAATATGGTATAAGTTCATACAATTACAAATTACAAATTTAAAAATTTGGTATAAGTTCATATAATTTTAAATATTAAAATTAAACTCCATGATTTTAAAGACTATTTATGAAAATTTTATTTACTTAAAAAGAATAAAATTTTAGGGACTAGATTTTAAATTTTCTAATATTATAGTATGAAATTTACAATTTTGATCTAAATTCAATTATTTATAACTTAAAGACTGGTCTAAAAGTGGTAGAAAAATTTAAATAATAAAATGGCCCCTTTCTTCCTTTTTCAGAACCGTCATGCCTTTCTTCTTTTTTAAAACCACTCAAAAGTCCATGACATAGACATCTAATTTCGATAATGAAACTTTTTTTTAAAATATTAAAATAAATAGAAATAAGTTATTTATATTCTTAATCTCCCCAAATTGTATCAATTAAAATTTTAAATTAATACAACTCCAAAATTTAACGACACATTAACAATTTTTTTACCTTAAATTATAACTTTAAAAAATATCTTTTATAAATGTTTTAGAAAAATATTGAAAAATTAGGACAAAAAAATTGAAATGGCCTGTAACCAGAAATAATGTGCTTTAATATTAGTTTAGAAATGTTTATAAAAATAAAAAATAAATAAATAAATAAAATTAAAAAGATGGAAGAATATATAATGATTATTTTAAAACTCACGTGGTGTTTTTAAGTTTTATTACGCGTAACCTCAAAAGCCCACTGAGCTTCTTCGTTGAGTTCCCTCTACCTTAGAGTTTACTCGTTTTGTCCATTTCCTATTTAACTCCAAAGCCCTATCCCCTCTTTCACTAACTTTGAATTTCTCTTTCTAAGTTCCCGAGCCTCATTCCGAACCCAAACCTGCCTTACGCTCGGATCTGATAGACCGTTCATTAATGGCGGACCGTCGGAACTCAGGCAGTGAAACGAATGAAGAGTCGGGTGGTCAGATTTTGAAGTACAAAGGTGTACGAAAGAGGAAATGGGGCAAATGGGTCTCTGAAATTCGGCTGCCCAACAGCCGTGACCGTATTTGGTTGGGTTCTTACGACAAACCAGAGCAAGCGGCGCGTGCTTTCGACGCGGCACAATTCTGTCTGCGTGGTCCCCATGCGAAGTTTAATTTTTCAGATAGTCCGCCTGAAATTGACGGCGGAGACCGGCTTTCGGCTCAGGAGATTCAGGCAGCCGCAGCGAAGTTCGCTGTCGAGCACGGCGGAGAGGAACGAGTTAAAACGGGTAGTAGTAGTAGCAATGAGGAAGCTCTAACCGGTAAACACAGTTCAGGGGCGGTTGACAGCGGCGATGGAAGCAGCAGCGCTTGGGCGGCTTGGGACTTGTTGGACGGTGGTTTGGATTTTGGGTTCGGAAATATTATGTGTCGGAATGAAATGGTCTATGATGGCGACATTATTTTCCCGGGACAAGAAAATATGGAGGATAGGTTTGTTGATGGTGGAGAATATTTTTGTCACGAGGCTAATTTCCTATGGAACTTTGATAATCATTAAGCCTATAAGCTATAGTCTTTCAAAAGGGCCCAAAAAAAACAAAAAAGGGGAAACCCCATAAGCCATAGCTTGGTTGGGTCATTTGGTAAATTTTAGCAAACCTAGTTTTAATAATTTTTTAGATATTACCCCCAAAATAAACTCGACCATATGTCAATTGTCACAAAAAAGAAAAAAAAAATTGTAGGCTAAAAGTCTCATCCAATGTATACATACTCAATAAAATTTATATATTGATAGAATATAAGTAATTATATAGTAATTTGCTCTATATATATATATATATACATAATGCAATACGATGTATTAAAGCGTCACATCAATTGGGGTTGCCAATAATTAATATTAACATTTAAAATTTTAAATAAAAATGAAAAAGAAATGAAAAAACGAGAATGAATTAACTAATATGTAAAGTAAAAGTATGGAAGTTCAAATTTCATCTTACAAAATAAAAAAAGGATTAAAATTATAATTTCCTTTGTTTTTCTAAAAGTAAATATGACCCAACAAATTATGTTTAGGCTGAAATCATTTGCAAGCCATGTATAACTTTTATATATATATATATAAAGATAAACTTGAAAAATAAAATAATAAAAATAACATTACTAACAAAGGGTTTAAAATATATTGAAATAATTATTTTGAACTAAATAACAAAAATATTACTTCTGATATCCCAACCAAAATAAGGGTTTTTGGCTAACAAGCTATTCTCAACTTTTTTTTTCCACTCAGCTCGAGACAAAATTCATGCAATCTATATTAGAAATTAAGACTCTCTCACGGCTTTGTTTTGGGTTTCCCCAAAAGACCTCATAGTAATTGAAAGAGTATTCTTTGTTTATAAACTTATGATTTCCCCTCAAACAAAGTACGCCTCCCCTTAATCGAGGCTCGACTCCTTTTCTTTTGGGGTCCTTTGTTCCAATCTATTGACACGACTAAGTTTAGGGCATGACTCTGATACCATGTTAGATGAACACGACTCTCCACAATGGTATGATATTGTCAACTTTGAGTATAAGCTCTCATGACTTTGTTTTAGGCTTTCCCCAGGAGGTCTCATACCAATGAAAAGAGTATTCTTTGTTTATAGACCCTGAACACGACTCTCCACAATGGTATGATATTGTCCACTTTGAGTATAAACTCTCATGACTTTGTTTTGGGCTTTCCCCAGGAGGTCTCATACCAATGAAAAGAGTATTCTTTGTTTATAGACCCATGATCATTTTAGAGCTTTCCCAAGAGGTCTCAAACCAATGGAAAGAGTATTCTTTGTTTATAGACTCATGATCATTCCCTAAATTAGCCGATATGGGACTTTTATCGTCCAACATGATATTGTCCACTTTGAGAATAAACTCTCATGATTTTGTCTTGTATTTCCTTACTTATAAACTCATGACGGTTCCCTTAGTTTGCCAATGTGGAACTCCCTCCCAACAATTTGGAATATCGATTGAGTGGAAAGGAAAGCAAGATAGGGATACACGTGGTCTAATGTTGTAATAGGGTGAGGAAGCGTATGGCTCTTCAGCACTAGAGCCTAGTGAAACTTTTTCTCAATTTCCATTGTTCTTATATGTTTGATTTGTTTTGAAGGGCCCAGGAGAATTTCTCTAAAGAAACGATTGAAATTTTGGTGGTGGCTATCTGATCAATGTGAAAGGGATAAAACAAAGCTGACTTCGATGGCCCAACCAACGAAGCAACGAGGGATTTCAAATGATCCAACGTTGGATGGCACCTTCTCTAAGGCAGAATGTCAACGCACCACAAGTCCTCGTACTTTCTCCTCACAAGAGAATACTCCATTTTCAGTAGGTGGGTATCGCTGCCCCATGACCAAGACAAATTGAGTGTGGATGCTACCATGCACAACGAGGAAATGGGATGCCAAATGGGCTTGTTTGAAATTCCAAAGGCTTTGTGAGCATTGTTTGGAAAAGTCATGAGAGCTTAAAGTGCGTTCGAGGATTCTCGGTAACCAGTTGTTCAATGGAATGTGTAGAGGCGAAGACTCTAGTAGAGGGAATCAGCTAGGTATGTCTACAGGTCTTACTTCAGTGTGGCCAAAAGTGGATTCCAAAGTAGTGTGGACTCTTCTTATGGACCAAGATCAACATTTTATTGAGATTGCACATCTTATCAAGCACCTGAAACATCTCTCGCAAAACCATTGCATAAAGGGTTTTCTCCCAACTCCTAAGGACGACACTAAGGCAACTCATACTTTAGCTATTCATGCAAGGCACACTAAGCATTTAGAGGTTTAGTTAGAAGATTGTTCAGATAGGGCACGTCACATTATCTGTAACGGCTCAAGTTCATCGTTTGCAGGTATTGTCTTTTTTGGGCTTTCTCACCCTTATAATGAATGTTTCGTTCTCCTCCCCAACCGATGTCGGATCTCACAGTTCATCCCCCTTCAAGGCCCAGAATCTTCACTGGCACTCGTTCCCTTCTCCAATCTATGTGGGACCCTCCAATCTACACCTCTTCGGGGCCCAACGTCTTTGCTGGTACACCACCTCATGTCCACCCACTTCGGAGCTCAGCCTTTTTATTGGCACATCCTCCCATGTTTGACTTTGATACCATTTGTAACAGCTCAAGCCCACTGTTAGTAGTTATTGTCCTCTTTAGGCTTTCCCTCTCGAGCTTCCCCTCAAAGTTTTTAAAACACGTCTGCTACTCATAAAAGATATTTCATTCTCCTCCCCACAAAATGTCACCTCCGATAGTTTCTATTTTTTTTTCTAGTTCTGCTCTTTTTGTTCTGTTTTGTTTATTAAGAAAAAAACACTTGCAAAATAATAACGAACCAAGAGTTCGTAAAAGATTATGGATACTATATTGTGCAGATAGTATCTATAATTTGCATGTTTCCAAATCAAAAGATACAGACAGTAAAGGGTATTCAAAGACTTCTTTTCTTTCCTAATATACTCTACTCTGATCTAAGAAATCAGTCTAAGCCTAATTCAAATAATCAAACCATCAATCAAAGAAAAAGGCGGTCAATCACTATGCAATAGAAAGCCATCTCTTTCAGACACAACTACGACCATTACGTGCAAACAATATCGGCATGCTTTTGGCTTGGTAGGCAAGAAGTTTGCTAAAATGAGATGATCATATAAAATGATTATCTAAAAGAGAGCCAGTAGTAGTTTAGTTTTTAACTTACTTGAATCTGCAGATTTGATTCAGCTCAACCCTCGAAGCTTTATTATGTTTATTTCAATATCAACTGCACTTGAAAATATATGAGGCCATCCATTAGGAGTCTGGTCAACAAATCAAGATGACAAAAGCGAGATCCAAATTTTACCGATGGTATAGCATCCAATCAGGAACAGAGTTTTTGAGTTGAAAGCTTCAACCACAATGGCATCAACAAACAAAATTGTAACGTCCTTCTGATTCGTGCAATTATACTGCAACAAGTAATCGATGAAAGATAATTAAATGATGTTCAGAAATCATAAGAAATGAAAAGACAGCGATATAATTGTACGCGCATGGTGACATTTGAAAACATCGGCAGAAGTACAAAGAACATTACAGCGGTAGATGGATACATCTAACAAAATTTGAGTCAATATGAACTTAAAATGGGAATTTAATTGAGCAGTTACATCAACAACTTACATTTGCAGAAGTATTGGCCATTCTCCATTTACTCGAAGGATTGAGTCCTTGCCAGTGGCGATTGAAGCCGAACGCTTCGGCCTCTTGAGTGCGCGATTGTGGAGCGATAAGTCGGAGATTGCGAGGTCGAAGACCGCGAGAAGAAGACTGTATAGGTGGAAGGAAGAAGATCGTCGTCGTCGTCATCGGCGGCGGCATTGTTGTGGCAGCGGTTCTGGGGGGAGGGAGGGCATGAGGGCGGAGGAACAATCTGGGAAGATGAAACGGAATTGATGACGAAGGAAGCTGGAAATTCCAGAGAGGGTTTCTGAAATTTTGGCGCAAATGAAACGGAGGGAAATTTGGATTTAGAGCCAATTTAAAGACATTTCTTGGACGCTTAAAAATAAAGGTTAACCGGGAAGACCGGTCGGACGCGCCTATCATTTTGCTCTCAGATGGGATGAATTATTTAACAAAACTCTCATAATTTAACTTTAAAATTAACTTTCTCAACAAAAACTAAATTCTTTCACTATTTTTTACATAAAATCTTACAAAATATTATTTAACCAAACCGTTACGTATCCCCATCATCCATTATAAAACTCGTGCACTAGAGAGATATTTAACCAAACCCTAGCGCCCTCATTGGCACACAGCCCGATATCTAGTTTTGATATCATTTGTAACAGTTCAAGCCCACCTATATTTAACCTGTTACATTCACCGTTTTAAAATTCATCTACTAGAGAGAAGTTGCACATTCTTATAAGAAATGTTTCGTTCCCATTTTCGACCGATGTAGGAACTCACAATCTTCCTCTAAGTGAGCTTTGGTATGCACTTTATGGCAATCACCACAAACCCTTAGGTTTTTTTATCACATTAATGGTTGCAAAAGCTTCTCTTGAGTCCGTAGTGGCGAAACGAAAAAGAACCGATAAGATGAAGAAGTCGGCGACAAAGACAGATAAGAGAACGGACAAGGTACTTTAAGATTGACTTGTAGTATCATTTGCCAAATGCTATCGTATTCAATTCAATTCACTCATAACGTCAAAATTCATGAAGATTTGAAGATTTGCTGTTGTAACCCAAACTACAATCCCTGATATTTGATTTGCACTTCAATTGGCATTTCCATAATATTAGAGAGGATAAATCGACTCAACGATTCGAAATTCATGGTTGAAGAACCAATTTGAAACAATTCAAAGCGGGACTCGATGAACTATATTCTCATATAATTCGATTCTAACAGTTGCATCCATGAGGAAAGACGAGCAAAAGAATCGACGTAAAGAACCGAGAAAAATATAAAATACAATGAAAAACCTAATAAAACAAAGTGGCAAAGAGTGACGATTCAGGGCTAAAAAATGTTAGACCCCTGTCATCCAGTTAAACTTTAATACAATCCTACTTGTTTTCACCTTCATTTTCCTTCCCTAATACTCTCTTTTTCATTTTTCTTTTCCTTTTTTTCACTTTTTTTTTTTTTTTTTTTTTTTTTTTTCCTTTT